AGCTGTCAAACTTGATTTGATTTAATTAAGATCTTCATCTTCCACTTTGTTTCAACCTAGTTTTCATTGTACTTTTAGGGGTAAAATACCAGTACTAAATATAAGGGGTTAGAAATGAAGGATTAATTTTTCAATATACTGACAGTGTATATACTATTATTATTAGATGCGCGATAACTAATTTTAAATTTAAATTTTGTATATATGTCATATATTCAATAGCGATACACCTTTAGTATATATATTATGATTAATCTTTCCAACACTGATAGTGTATATATCGTCAACATTGGATGAATGACAGCTATGCAAATTTTGAATTTGAAATCCAACTTTTATACGTGTCATGAATCCAAGTCACATCTCTAAGTTGGAGCATTTTCTTCCTGTTCCATGAGCAATTGGTAGGTATTGAGATTTGACCAAAAGCTCCCATCTTTGAGCATCGCTGTGTGTATCCAGATTATCCATAAGGATTCTTTCCTTGAACATATGTTCTAGATGTGGTTCATGATAAAAGTATGGTTGTATGTGTCAAACTATAGTAATCAAAATCCCACCCTTATCTTTAGGAACACGAAGTTCCTTCCACTTAATCTTAGCCATATATTGACTCTTGTTTTCTCCAGACAATAGGAAGGATGTCAAAAACTTCTCAATTCTTCTGCTAATAGATTTGGGTAGATTGAACATGCTACTCCATTAAAGATAAAGCTATTAACTATATATTTGAGCTAAATAGTCTCCCTGCATCATTCAAGTGCCTAGATGCCCAAGCTCTAGATTTTAGAATTCATCTTCTCCAAAATAAGTATGCAATTAGTGCATGTAATTTGCGTAGAAATATGTGCCCCTACTAGGAATACATTGCACTTCTGTAAGTTCAGCTTCAACCCCGACAAGTTCTCAAACTCATGAAGAGTTTTCTTAACTAGTTGCATAGCTTTCTCGGTAGCACCTAAAACAAATACATCATCAGCAAAAATTAAGTGAAACAGTTTCATCTTTCACATTTGGGATGGTAATCCAGCCCATGAGCTGCATTGTTCCTTTCCAATAACTAAGGAAAGACCACCAAATTATTAGGAGTAAATAAGGAGATATTGGATCTCCTTTCGTCAACCCTCTTCCACTTTCAAAGTACCCTACTATGACTCTATTGATATTGAGTGAGAAATGTGTTGTAGTGACACACAATTTAGTCTAATCAATAAATCATACCAAAAAAATTCATAAGCCTCATAGTAGTGAATAAAAATTCCCAATCAATAGTTTTGTAGGCGTTCATGAGTTGTATCTTGATTGCATACTTGGGTTTACCTCCATCTCTATGGTAGTTATACACTAGCTTATGCATCAACATGATATTTTTTGAAATCAAGTGTTCTCTGAGAAATACATTCTAGTTTTGACCAATCAAACTAGGTAAGACCCTTTTCAAATGATCGGGGAGGACCTTCGAGGAGATCTTATAGATCATATTGCAACATGCAATGGGTCTATAGTCCTTCATTTAGAAGCTTCCTGGATGTTTGGTAATAAGGTAATAAGAGTACTATTTAGCGGTTGATACATGTAACAATTAGCAACATAGAAATCTCATAGCACGACATACCTCTTCGCCTATGAGTGATCAATTCTATATGTAGAACTCTATGGTATAGCCATCTGTCCCTAGTGCAGTATCACTTTTCATGCTAAATATGGCTGTTTTAATCTCATCATTTGTCACTTCCCTACTCAGCAATTCTACCTGACCTTTAGTAATATTTTTCTTTATAATTAGCTTCAAATTATAAATAAGAGCATGCTGACTAGAAAACAACCTTTTGTAAAATTACACAGCTTCATATTTCACCTCTTCAAAGTCAACCTTATACAATCTTCAGTTACCAAAGAAAGCAGTCTGCTCTTTGCCTGATGTTTCACTACTTTCTTGTGGAAAAATTCTTTCTTGTCACTATCATTCTTCCACCTCGCCCTCGACTTATTCTTGAAGAACTATTCTTCAGCAATCAAGAAGTCTCCATAGGATAGGAGATACTTCGTTTCAAGATTCTGCAAATCACTATTATGAGGTTGTGGTTGCAAGTATGCAACAAAGACTGAGTAACTATTGAAAGAACCATAGTTTGGTTTACTCTGCCACTTAGATTACTGTAAAACGTCTTGTTAAAAGTTTTAAGATTACCTTTCAATGTTTAAACAAAGAGTTCTCATGGGATTACTATTTTCTTAAGTCGCCCATGCACAAGCTAAAGTACTCTGAAAGCCTCTGTGCTGCATCCAAAACCCATGAAACTTGAACGGTTTTGAACCATAATCCACTCAATCTGCAAGTTTCACTAGTGATGGACAATGGTCAGGATATGATAGTGGAAGAAATTCCTAGTCATATGTATAAAAATGCTAGAACTACTTTCATTCTCCAAAACCCTGTCTAGCTTACTATATTGCATTTCCTCTCCATCATGCTTATTGCATCATGTAAGAATATAACTAGATGCAGTTTAGGCTTCTACGCCAATCTCCTCTAGACATATATTTAATTCATCCATGACACCATAATCAAATGTCTCATTGCCCAGTTTTTCTAACATTTTCTAATTATATTGAAATCTCCAAGAATTATCCAAGGCATGTCAGCATAATTTGCAGCAGTCTCTCTCAAGTAACTCCATAATTCCCAACATCAACTCTTGGGAGGTAAAGATCCTGCTCCCACTGTTATAAAATGAACAAATGGTGATCAAAACTTGCAAAAATGCAAGAAAAAAATAGAATCAATAACAACAAATTTAATGATAACTCAAATTTTCCTAGAAATTTAATTGTTTAGGTCATACTTGGAACTAAAAAAGAAAGAAAAACCAAAAATTAAAAAATCCTCGATAAATGGAAAACAATTAGTCTCTACAAAAAAGATGTTTTGTGAAAACTTTGGTAATTGATATTTTGTTACAGCTTCCTTCCTTTATATTCTGGTCATTCCTTTAGTTCTATACACATTCTACTTGTCTTACATCCGATTTTGGCAAGGTTTTTGTTGACGTGTTGTAGTTGTATATAGTTCTTAATTTTTTGTTTTCTTTGAATGGCCTAATTGTAGTTTTACCTTTTATATTTTGAGAGATGAGTGGACTAGTGCTAATTTCCTTCGTAATTGTGCAATGCTTTTTTGTTCCTTTCTTTTTATTTTTTTTCAAGGCCATTGAACTAGATAGCAATAGTATATACTGATCCCTAGTTGTACAATGGGATTAATCTCATAAATAAAAAAGTTATTATGTATAATTATGAGAACTTAATATAGATTAGTTTTACGAAATGATTAATATTCTAAAAATACTCCAACAAATAACTACAGTAATAATTTTTTCCTATGCACCATTACAGTAAAATTTATATAAAAAAAACTCCAAACACCTGATACATACGGAGCCGATTCGTCATTCATTGCTGCATTTTTCAAGCATAGCATGTACTTCTTGTCTGGCTTCACCTTCAACTTGAATGTATCTGGAAAGCAAACACACTCAAAATGGATTTTAATTTCAAATAAGTCATATGTCTTTAAGAAAGTAAACGGATATGGAAGAAGACAAAATGCAAAAACTTCCTAATGTAAAGTTGAAAGTATTAGTCGAACATGAAATAGTAAGACTTAAATTGTTCTTTAGACTCGTATGAAATTTTAAATGGTAGTCTTCCCCATTGATTTAGGTATGAGGAAGCTGTCAAACTTGATTTGATTTAATTAAGATCTTCATCTTCCACTTTGTTTCAAACTAGTTTTCATTGTGCTTTTAGGGGTAAAATACCAGTACTAAATATAAGGGGTTAGAAATGAAGGATTAATTTTTCAATACACTGACAGTGTATATACTATCATTATTAGATGCACGATAACTAATTTCAAATTTAAATTTTGTATATATGTCATATATTCAGCAGCGATACACCTTTAGTATATATATTAGGATTAATCTTTCTAACACTGATAGTGTATCTACCGTCAATATTTGATGAATGACAACTATGCAAATTTTGAATTTAAAATCCAACTTTTATACATGTGTCATAAATCCGATGGTGATAGCATATACACTGTCAGTATATAGAAGATTTACTCTATGTATTATTACCTCTAGAAATGAGTAGAGTTCAAGTATAACTCAAAAAAAATTTCACTTTTAAAAAATAGCTAACATCTGTGACTTCTCTTGTAATAGATGCCAATTGGGCACCTGTTAACCAAACTATTAATTAAAAACTAATTGCACAACAAATGACTTTTGTTCATCCATCAAACACCGATTTTCCTAACTCCATTAAACCTATGTCAAGCACTAATTTTTCTTTAACTCTGTTGAACCTATTTTGCCCCCTACCCGCCCTCCCCCCGAAACTAGCATTCTGGGTCCATCCCTGGCTACCTAGTGCTAGTCCCCTTGCCATCTCTTGACTCGCGGTTGGCGTGGATAGGGTAGTGAATTAATAGTTATTTCGGAGTAGTTATTTGAAAGAATAAGCAACAGTTTCCTCTTTTCTTTTCCCTTTTCTTAATTATCCTTTTTGGATTTTAATTTTTTGAATTTTTTTAGAAGAATATATTTTAACAATATGATGTATGTTTAGTTAAAAAAAATGATTAAAAAATTGTGTCAAAAATATTCTCAAATTTTTCTACCAAAACTTGCAATCCAAATAGTTTTCTTTTTCCTCAGGAGATGTACGAGGACTACAATTACTAGAATTTCGACTCAATATTGTGCTATTTCACGAAGTGCTTCATAAATCCCTTTGTCCATACTTGGCCACAATTCACATGTCACAATCTGCACTTACTTTTCTTTTCGACAAACCAAATGAGGCCTAGTGGAAATACTAACGTTTTGAGGGGTCAATTAGTTATTTCGTTAATCCACAACGGCCATCGTCACGTTATCCCCATTGCGAAGGCGGGAAATATTTTTGTCAAATTCACACACTCTTTCTCCCACTCAGCCTCTCCTCTCTCAATACATAAATTTCTAGGGTTTAATAATTCATACGAAGATTAATCTTGTAAGATCAGAAAACCTTGGAACAGAGCAATGGCGGCAGCCGAGTCTGAGGCTGAGGCGCAACAACTCATTTCCCGACTTGGCAAACAACTTAAAGCTTCCAAAACTTGCCCAAACAAAGACTCCCTTGTCAAATGGCTAAAAGTAATTACCTGTCCTCGAGTACTCTTTATTCACTTTAGCTGTTGGGCAGATTGATTTTATTTTATTTTTTGTGGTATATTTTACATTTTGAAGTTAATTATCGCTTTTACGGTTGTGGGTTTCTCTGGGTTAGTTGAATTTTTTTGAGGCGGTTTCATTTGGGTTAACTTTGTTGTGATTTATGGGGTAATTAGTTGATTGTATTTAATTTTTTTTGCGGTATATTTTACATTTTGAAGTCAATTATCGCTTTTACGGTTGTCGGTTTCTCTGGGTTTTGTTGAATTTTTTTTTGGGGGCGGTTTCATTTGGTGAACTTTGTTGTGATTCAAGGGGTAATTAATTGATTTTAGGTTTCTTAGCTTCTATTTGTTTAGAGAATCGTGGGAGAAAGTGAGGGAGATCATGTATAATTCTGGACTCTAGAACACAGCGCGCAACTTAAATTGGTGAAACTCAGTGGGCCTAAAACATGTTTAAGCGTATTTACTTGGGGGATGTGGGTATTGATGTTTACCCTAATCTAATTGAATTCATTGCAGGAAGCTGTTATTGCTTTGGGAAAATTTAAACAGTTGAAATCACTGAATTCAGTAATACAACCTCTGAGTGATTCTCTTATTAAGCATGGCCTGCTTCAGCACAAGGATAAAGATATTAGAATTTTGGTGGCGACCTGCTTCTGTGAGATTATCCGGGTCTTGGCTCCAGATCCTGGTTTCAGTGATGATGTTTTCACGGTAACAGTTACATTACTGTGATTTGTTTACCATGTTCCCTTCACTTGTCTCCATTTTAATTTGTTAAGATCCCATGTATTGTCTTCCCCTTTGATGGGAAATCTTTCATATGTTAATGGGCAACTGATTCTCGTTGCAGGATATATTTAAACTTCTTCAAAGCATATTTGCGGAGACCGGTGATTACAAAAGCCCATATTTTTCAAGAAGGGTGAAACTGCTGGAGACAGTTGCTAAGCTGAACGTTTGTGTACTAATGCTGGATGTTGGATGCGAGGATTTAATTCTCAAAATGTTCAAAATCTTTTTCAGTGCTGCGAGGTTATATTTTCTTGTTTCATCTGTGTTTGCTCATGCCCTTCTTTTACCTGGAATCAGTGAGAACTATGTTGCTCTGCCTTTTGGGAAGGCTACGCATTTTATGCTTATAATTTTTGTTTAGACTTCAACAGTCAGTCACTAAAGAATTCATGGAGCACAACCAACTATATTGCATTCACAATAACACAAAGGAAAACAAATAAGTCAATAATTTCTACAAAAAATGACTAAAAAAAAAATTTAGGCTTGCAGGACGCTTGCACACAAAGGTTAGAAAATAAGTTTGGTAAGACATGCCAAGATTGGATTGTGCAGGAATCAGAGAAGCCCTTTCACAAATTAGAAAACTGAAACTAACATGAAACAATCAAATAACAAGTTTCAGTACCCTAAACCAAAGTTTTTTTTGCTTTTATGGGTTCTGCTTTGGGATTTAAGAATTCCTTACTGAAAGAAGAGTAGGGCCATGAGGGTTGGCTGGATAGGATTTCTTAAGGAAAGAATGGCTGGATGGGCTATCTTAAGGAAAGAAAACTCAAATTGGTAGATGAGATTCTTAAGGAGAGAAAACTCAAATTGGTAGATGAGATTTAAACTTATTGATGGATACAAAGTGTGCGAGGCTCTTAATAAGCTTGGCAGATTGGGGAAAATGTTACACAACTGCAGACTAAATAAGGTGAGACAGGATTGAGGTAAAGAGGGTTTCAAGTATCTGTGCAGAGTATAGCAAACTTGAAGTATGATTCTTGAAGTTGACTAGGAGACTTCAAAGAGTGATATCAGCTAGTCTGCATGCGGGAAACAGTTAGAGTAACCGGAATGGTAAAAATTTGAGAAGAGGATACACAGTATGTCATAGGCTATAAAGACTGTTTAAATTGGTGGATTGTGCTTGTAATCAGGCGATGAAAAGACTTTTACTGGTATATGATTGTTTACCTACCAAAAAGCTTCAAGGTGCAGTGGAAAAAATAAGATCTGAAGAGCTTTTCTGTTACTATTCTTTCTTATCCCATTAGTTTCATGCCCCAATCAAGGGCCCTTTTTTGTGTTAACCAGAAAGAGAAAATAGAAAGTTATGTTGCTGTATTGAATTTGTTGATGCCATAGTTAAGTGCTATAGATTCTTTAGAGCTGAAATTATTTTGGAACCGTTCAGCTGTCTTGAGAAAGGAAACATGTATCTGCTGTCATGTTTAATATATGCTTGAGATAGAGTTAGCTAAGAGAAGCATATGCTTATGGGTTTACCAAAGTGCCTTCACTTGTCATGTTTATATATATATGCTTGAGATAGAGTTAGTTAAGAGAAGCATATGCTTATGAGTTTACCAAAGTGCCTTCGCGAAAGCTTTGGTACCAGAAACCTATTTTGCAAGCTTTCTTATTGTAAAAATTTCCATTGGAAGAATATAATTCTCCAACCTATTATGACAGTTTATCTTTTGTTATCATCTGATCACAATTTTGAACACTTATGCATAATATAATTATCTTTTTTTTTTTGTAAAGGCTATATGTAATTATTAAGCTATTCTTTGACAATAGTTCAACTATTCCCTGCAGAGAGCAGCATCCTCAGAGTGTGATTAATGCAATGTCATCTATAATGGCTCGCATTTTGGAAGACAAATTGGAAGAGAAAGATCTCGAGTCACTCATTTTTCAGGAAAAATTTTCTGAGCCACTCTTGGATGTGATTATACAAAATCTTTTGAAAGAATCAAAGGCAAGTGTTAGCTACATGCTTTGCTTGTGTAAAATAGCATGATCAATGTCTTGTTGCAGTTTTGCTTTCTATATTTATGGCAATTGATTATATTTAGAACCATTTCAGATGATTTTGTATTTTTGTTAGTTGTAGTTGCATGTGAAAATGGATGAAAAAATAGAGGTTTATACCAACATAATATTGGCAGTTATCATATGCTTAGCATGCTCAAAGACATAATGGATATTCTCTACTTATCCTTGAAAACTGTTACCTATTCTGCTCATGGTTGTTTTACTTAAGCATGAGAGGACTTAAGATGATCAGAGATATTATGAGGTCTGGGCACCTGCTGCAGCATATTGAGAACTTTATGAATTACGAATTGAGTCTAATATCTACTCATGGACGAAAAGAGTAGGTGCATACCTACATGATACGTGCAAGCTTTTTTATTAAAACATTTTGGGAGGGTTCTTGATGGTTAGACTGCTTAATCAGGTGTACTGGAGGTACCATTTGGGGTTCTTTAGCAGATTATTTCCAAATCTCTGGCATAAAGTTGTTGGATTGTCTCCCTTTTGTACTCTTCTTTTAAGTTGTCTACTTTTATTCTTTTTAAGGATTTTCCTTTCTTAGAGTTTTAAAGTTCAGCATTTTAGCAGTCTTTGAACACTTTTTCCACTCTATCTTTGAGTATCAAATCAGGACCCTTAGTTCGACATCTCTCCTTTGGTCCAGCCAATGATGACCCTTTTGTGGACATATCAATAGTTATTAATTTGTTGAAACAGTTCTTTTTCAGAGCCATCATTAATTATTAATTGATGAAGAGCTGCTTTACCATGATTCTTCCCTTGCTTTGTTGTCATTTGTGATTGAACTTAAAAAATTTTGCTCTTGAAGCATTTGGTGACAAGTATTTAATTGCTAGTTCATTGGCTCATTTGGTGTTTGAATATTAAAGGCTTATTAGTAGATCAGTACTTCAGATACGTGGTTAAAAAGGGATTCCTTGCTTTAGTCTTGTTGCAGTTGCTTTTTAAATCAAACAGATAAATTGTCTGATAGCTTAACTAATTCTCATATTTAGCCGTACAAAAGTTACTCAGAAGGTTATTAGATGGTCTTTATAATAACGAGTCACTGTAGAATTTGTTTATTGCAATATTTCCTGTTTAGTAGTATGGATTAATACCTTTTCTCTTTGGTGATTTATTTATGTCTCTTGCAGGGTGGATCTGGTGGCTTTGCTCGGCTTGCTGTTTCTGTCATTCAGAACTGCAATGAAAAGCTTGAACGCTGTATTTGTACATTTTTAAGATCTTGTATTTTGAACAGAGAAAGTATTGGGAGTGAACTTAAAGAGTGGTACCATGACATTCTCTACGAAATCTTCCGGAGTGCTCCTCAAATGCTTGTTTCTGTAATCCCTAGCTTAAGCCATGAATTACTCGTGAGTCATTTTCCTTTCTGAGTAGCACCTTTCACTATGCAAAGGGGATAGATTTTGTTGGTAACTGGTATCCTACTAGAGATTACTCAGTCATCATATTGTGACTGCATTATCTTTCAGAATCATTTACCAATCTGTATATCATGATAATATTTTTGTCATTCCTCTTGATGCTTTAATTAATCGTTTGTGTAATATGATTTGCAGACAGATCAGGTTGATGTCCGTATAAAAGCTCTTAATTTACTTAGAAAATGTTTTTCTTTGCCTGGCCACAACATTGCTGAGGAGTATCACAACCTTTTCATGGATTTTCTGAATAGATTTACGGATAAGTCTGCTGAAGTAAGGTTATGTGCTCTTTCATGTGGTAAAGCTTTGTACACTAACAATCCATCTGGGACAGGATCATCACAAATTCTCAGTAAGCTTTGAAAATTTGATTGTTCTGCTGCATTTCATGAACATTGTTCTGCTATCTGAGATAATCTTAAGCCTTTTATTTTCTTTTTTTTTAATCTTTTTTTTTGTACATTCTTTGAAATGAGCAGCAGAGCTGGAGAGTCGACTCTTAGATTTTGATGATAGAGTTCGAATGCAGGCTGTGAGTATTGTGTGTGATGTAGCAAGATTACAAATAGGCTCTGTTACTAATGAACTAATAAGTCAAGTGGCTGATAGGCTTCGTGATAAGAAGGTTACATCTATTCCCACCTTTGCAGTTTCTGTTTAGGGTGGCGATTCTGATTATCAAAGAAATAAGGAGAAGACAGCTGATGATTTTTTTTTTTGAAAAAAAAAACAGGTATCTGTCAGAAAGAAAGCTTTGCAAAAGTTGCTGGAACTATATCAGGATTATTGTACAAAGTGTGTTGGAGACATCAAGATGCATTTTGAGCAAATACCTTGCAAAATTTTAATGCTTTGTTATGACAAAGACTGCAAGGAGTTCAGGTAAGGTCTATTCCCTCATCAATCTTTGTTAGATAAAAACTCATTGCTGTTTCAATACACATTTTTTTTGACTGAATTTTTTTAACTTTCAGGCCACAAAGCCTGGAGTATGTACTAGCAGAAGATCTATTTCCTGTTTCACTTTCAGTTGAGGGAAGGACAAATCACTGGATTTTTTTGTCCTCTCTTTTTACACCATTGCATGTGAACGCATTGAATGCCATTCTATCTCAGAAAAGAAGGTATTGGTCCCAAGTTGTTGGCTTAACTTAATCAAAAAGTATTTTCTGTATTCATGTCTTTTATGCTTTCAGGTTACGGAATGCACTGCAAGCTTACTTACATCTCCGGGTCCACAAGGAGGTATGATAGAATATTTAACTTTAAGCTAGCTAATTAGCAAGCTGTTAGTTCCTGTGTCGTCCTGCAAAATTCCTTTAGTGGGCCCTCATGACTTGAAGATTGATTACTTTTGAAGCTGTTCTCCTTAATTTTCTTTTCATAGTTATACGTAAGTTTGTGTGGCGATGAGGTTTATTTACTTTGCCTGGATAATTCTTGTTAATTACTTGATGACAAGCTCTGGATAATTGTTATTAGTTACTAGACAACAAGCGATTAGGATTATTTTGCAGGTAGAGATGAAGATCTTTCCAGTGAATAAGAGCCTCTTTGAATCTTGAGGTTGTATCTACGAATCTCACTCTACAAGGCCCCCTCCCCTCGTGCAGGGTTCTCCAACAGACACAATTTATGGCACTGATTGCACATGAGAATCTGACACTATAGTCAATGTGATAATGCTTTCAAGACTTTGAGATCTCTTGTGAAATTTGTGAAAACTTATGCCTCGTTTTGGACATGAGTAGTATTGAATGTATAATCCTTCAGTGTCATAGTTTACTCCAGATTCTAGATGGAACTATTGTAATTGTGGATTTAAATACTTCATTCCATGGCATATATTACATCTGTAAATCAGATTGACCAATTTTACAAAAATTATAGATTGCTCAAATTTCCAATGATTTATAAGCAGAGTTAAAGTATATAAGCACGTGACAATGTAATAGTAATGTCAAAATAACAATGGTTCTAAAAATTTGGAGATTTCAAATGAAGTTTGTATGTAGCTAGTGTTTTTGGATATGAATAATAGTGGATATATAACTCCCCTGTGCCATAGTTCACTCCAGATTCTAGATAGAGGCTACCTAGTTATGAATTTAAGCACTTCAGTCCAGTGTGTTTGTGCACATATAAAGCAGATCTTACAGATTAATATTACATTGCTGAAATTCCCCTGATTATACTCAGAATTAGAAGTTTTCATTGGAAAATGTTTAATGATAATTTCCTTAGACCAGAAATATGCTTCACCATGTTTAGATTGATATATCATGAGTGTATGCCTCTTGAAGGATGCAGTTTCAAATGAATTCACTAGTTTTTATTTGTTTGGATAAATGTTTCCATATGTTAAGTTCATTTTAGTTTAGTGAGTTGGACAATTGATCATTAATTCAACTACTGAGTGTTGATGTGAGCCTACCAAGTGATGACTTGCTTTGGAGCATACTTATATGAAGCTTAATTTTCTTTAATTCTGCAATTGCAATGTGCTGTGCATGTGATTTTGGTTACAGCTGTTTAAGAAGGATGGCATAGGTATGATTGCAATACTGGACCATGCATTTTGAAGCCAACATTCAGTATTAGCTCTCTAGATGCTGATGCCAACTTTCAGAATATATTAAAATTCTATTTGAGATTGAATTGCTGATGTTTCTCTTAATTGTTGCTGAAATAGTTTCTACTTTCCGAAATTGGAATGTTATCTTTCAAAAAGCATTAGGAATAGTTGATCAGGGTCCATTAGTAATCTTTAAATAGTTTTCAAATCAATACACTAAGTTGTAGTCCCATTGCTCTTCTCCTGTAGCCGTCATGTTCCACACTTGTGTCTTTAGAGAATTTATTCTCCACCTCTTAGTTCGGCTGATTATAAAACAAAATTTGGAAGGTGACAAGAAAAAATTGCGAATAGGTTAACAGTAAAAACGTGCAAAAATCAACATAAGAAGAGGACATTATTAGTTGGTATAACTGGTCTGATAATGTTTTACTTTCTTAAATTACAATTGGCACACCAGTTCCATTTTCTTAATTTGACTACTGCTAATAGCAGTCAGCACTTTTTTCCTTTTTTTGGCAAAATGGTACTTGTTTTTACTTCTTTTCTCTATGAATCACAAACATGAGAGCAAGGGTTTTATTGTTTGCACTATATTTTTCATATATCAACCCAATATATTCATTTTCTAATAGTTGTCTAAAATCTTATGCTTTTACAGGAGATAGGCTCTGACGAAATGGAAAGGAATACCAAAGCTTTATTTAAAAAAATGTCAGCTTTGTTTCCTGATCCTGCAGAAGCAGAAGAGTGCTTTTATAAGCTGAATCAAGTCAATGATAATGATATTTTCAAAATGCTGGCAGACATGATAAACGTTGGAGATGCTCTTTCTACTAGAGTAAGTTTGTCATCCTTGCAATTGGTTTTCTACTTTGCTTCTACTTGACTCTGTTTAATAGAGATCATGTCCACTTATTCATCCATAGAGCATAATGTCAGTGCTGTTGTGAGAATGGAGTTTTGTTTTTTAATAGGAGCTTTAGTATTCCAGAACTTGCATTGGCTTAAGAATACTCTGCTATTTTATTTTTCATCATTGATTATTTGACCATCTTGTAGAATAATTTTTCCATGATTGCTCCTAAATTTAAATCAGATGTTGTTGCTTTCGGAGTTCTAATTTTGAAATGATATTTTATTGTAATTGATGTTGGAAAATGACTTTAATTTGTGTTTTCGGGAATTGTATGAATGATGCAATAGGGTTAAACCATGATAAAAATCAGGAGATAAGAAAATAGAATTCATAGCTAATAAAATGGGATGGAAACATTGCAGACAAGTTTATTGCTGTACAGGATATCTTCTATTTCGAGCATAAATTTGATTCTTACAATACAAAGAGATGATAATCTGCTTAACTATTGCTGCTCAACATTTGCTTATCTTCTTAAGCACTGATCTTGAAACGGCTACTGTTAGCTTCTGAACATTTTTGGTCTTCCATATAAAAACTATTACTGGTAGGCAAATGATGAGAGTAGTTAAAATTTTCAACTGGTCCTTATTTTTTTATTTTGTATTAGCTTGTTTTATTTTTTTGACCTCTTTGTTTGTTTTTGTTCACCTTATGTTCTGGAGTCTTTTTTCCTCAACTTGTTCATTGGAGTAGATGTCAGGTATGGTACATAGCAGATCCGGTACAAATACCAACTGAAATGACATTCTCTTGCCATATGTTGGTTTGTTCCAGTGAAATGAATGGTTTCGGCAGAAAATGAGGATGTCTATACAGATTTCAGATGTTGCATGCTTTGTCTTACATTTACATGCTTTTCTTTTCTGTGACCAATCCTCATTTTGTTTTATTCACTGAAATTAAGAGAAGAGGACTTCCCTGTTGATTTATTACCAGACTTTAAAAGGCTTGAGCTATCCAAAATAGAAGCAACATGTTGCAATTAAGGAGCTTTTCAATAAGGTGGCCATTGTTTTGCCTGGACATAGCATTTAATCTGCATTGCAATCATGAACATGGCTACTAATGTTTGTTGTTCTCAGAGCAGATCACTTATGTCTCTTAGCATTTAGAAACATGAATGTATTATTGAACAGTCTCCTGTAGTTAGTAGAGACAAAACTGCAGTCAAGATTTTTTTGGGGATTTATCAAATAGGGTAAAAGTTTATGGTTTTCTGACTTTGAGATAATTAAAGCATGAAACTTTGAAATACTGCTTATATGCAAGGTCAAAGTCTGCTAGTATGCTGCACCATGATATCCGAGGCTAAGGCCAATCAAGCTGCTGAGGTCTCTTTGGGCTTTGTTGCGAGGTTATGGTAATGCATAATTGTAGCAAGGCCATTACACTTGAATCTGAATGTTTTTCAGTAATGTGTGATTGCTACTCTACAAATTTGTATAAAAAGAAAGAATTAATGTTATATACACTCTTGAGTGTAAAGATTTTTTATGCTAATAGGTATAGGTGTATGATACATTGACAAAAAGTGAATTTAAAATTTGAACAGTAATGATGTAGCGTTCATCTAAACCTGCTTGTGTAAAAAAATCTTTACACTGACAGTGTATAAAAATTAATCCCAAAAAGAAAACAAAGAGAAACAAAAAGGAAGAAAGAGAAAATTGTAGTGGAAAATGTTTTGGTAAAAGAAGCATGCAAAAATAGATTCAAGACTCCTTGAAAATTATTGGCATACTTTAAAGCAATCAAAGTTCCAAAGCAAACAGCAAACAAGAATATCTTATAGTTAGGATGGCATAGACCTGGCAAAACAAACCCAAAGCCAGCAATCTGCTAAACTCAGCTGAGAAATTTGGAAGGTTTTATGGGTTTAGTTTGGCTTTGAGTTTAGTTAGGTTGGGTTGCTTATATTGGTTTGTGTTTGTGCCTGTTGAATATCCAATTTTTAAACCAACTCATTTACTCAACACAACAGAATACCATCAGCCCTAAAACGAAATAAATAAATAAATAGATAACATCTCAGCCTTTTCCCTCCTACAGCAGCTTTCCTTTTGTGGCTCTAGTAGTGGCTGTACGGCCATCCAGTCTTTCATTCTGATAGCACTTGAGAGAAACTAGACATACTATGTTCATCTATTGTTATAGATATATTTGACAACGACATTGATTATACAACTTGCTATGCTTCATTAGTATTTGAATGTTCAAGCCTTAGATCTTAAATGTTTTATTTAGATTTGAGAAAAAAATTACCAATGGATTCTTTCTTGGGTTTAAAAAAGCTATGTGTAGAATTTGTGAGTTTTTTGCTCAGTGGCAGAGAGAAGATAATGGTGCCCAGATTATACACCCCCATTGTATGTGATTTTGGTGATTTTTGCTTCATTGTGACCACAGATTTGTTATCTATGCCAAAGTCGGAGAGTGATTTTGATGTCCTGGAAAGGGACGGACAACTGTCACAGTGAGCAACAGTCGAGGGGAAGGTAATTGGAGATGTTAGTTGTATTTTGAGGTTAAGCTGTGGCTGTGAGGTTTTTCTGGTGAAGAAGAAAACAGAGATGTAAAACAAAAAGTTTTGATCATTATTGGCTTTTGTGGGTTCAAATGACCCAAAGATGAACTGATGCAATGTTAGTCCCCTAACCAGTTGGGCAAGGTGGGTTATGATCCATTTTTCGAAAACCCACTTCTGGTCTGTCAAGTACAATTGGATGCACCCTATTGCCATCACAAGGATGGCAGCAAGAATTGCAGAAGAAATACTGGAAAATGTGATTAGTAACAATATTTTGGAACAAAAAAGCAGCAGCATTAGCCATGCAATGAAATAACAAAAAGCAATAAATAGTGTGGGAGGGATGTTTAGTTGTCTAGAAGAAGGGAGGTACAGGCAGGGGGATCTGTGGGTTATTGTTACTGTTGTAATTGGAGTGAAAGAAAAAGGAGAACTGGACACTGGGATGGATCTAATTAGTGGGATTCTGCCTGGAAAAAGAATTGGAAGAGCAGGAAGAAGAGGAGAGGTATTCAGAGAGAAAAATACAGCATTCAGGTGGCCTTTTTGGGGCAAGGGGACTGTACTGTTTTGGCATTTAGGAAGCTTTTTTCAGTTATCCAATTGAATCTGATTTTTGAATCTTCAACACCCTTGATTGACGATTTAAGCAAATTGTCAGTCAACTTAGATTCTTCAGTGTTTGCTGCAACTGCAAAATGGGGTGTAAGCAAATAACAGTCAGTAATGTAAGTGGGACTAACTAAAACAAGCACAATTGTCAAGAGGTGCATGTCTCGTATGTTCTTCTTAAGTGGTTAGACTTGTATTCACTAAAATGACACGGCATTTTTCTGTGGCCATAGCAATTTGGTTTGATTTATGCTGTCAGGAAAAGCTCTATTCATTAAGGCTTAGCTGTTTTGGAGGTTAAGAACTTCCTAATTTTATGGATTTATCCCCTGTGCTTCATCATATGCAGGTTTGTTCGTAAGAGATTGAGCTTTAATCCAAAAATTGTATTTTTATGAGGTTGACATGAGCTGTAGAAGGCTAATGGCTAAAATCTTTGATATCTAAGTCAATATATACTTTCCATGATCTAAAATTCTGAGTTTGCTGAGCTATTTGTCTCCGGTGTTGACATGATAAAGCCCTTATGTTATTGCCTTTCCACTCAGTTAGAGATCATCTTCCCTGTATGCTTGCGTTATGAATTTGATATAAATTTGACTCCAGAGATGACTTATTATCTGTTCATTAAGGATTCTGGCTATGGTTGCAATTCTTTTTTGCTTGTTGTCAAGTAGCTCTTGCCTAAGCAACCTTCCAAGATCCACTTACTTTTCCTCTTTGTGCCGAATTTTGACATGCCTTTCAAAATTTAACAGGATTGAATGGTATTACTATTACATTTAACAGTCATGTTTGAGATATCCTTCTATTGGTTTCCATTAAAATAGGGAAGGCGTGTTTACCTTCTAAGAAATTACTCTTGTTTATTCCTGTAAATCAGTAGGGTATAAACAAGAACTGAAAAAGATTGCTACTGCTTGTCGCTTTGTAAGATGTAGCCTAACAGAGATGGATTCTTTGATTTGGCCTTTCAATATTGGTGTTCTTTTTTTTTTTTTTTTTTAAACCCTCAACTTTCTTTCTGCATGTGCTCTGATTTGATATTATGTATCAAGTTCAGCTTTTTCATCTCTAGTATCGACCTCTTATCTTGTATTTTTTCTTCCAGGATAACCTTCTGAGGAAGATTGGAGACCAGAGTCCACTTTTTGATTTCTTGAGATTGCTGTCATCCAAGTGCTCGTTAAACATATTTAGTTCTAGGCATGTCAGCTGTATCTTAGACCATCTTACTTTTGATAAGAGCATTCGCAATACAAAATTGGACTATTCTCCTCTGCTGCTTCTTTCAGTAAGTTGGATTGCTCATTATACAACTTAAGTTGATCTCTTTCTTCTTTATGTAGCTACATGGTGCTGCACTTATTGCCTTTTTTTATATCTAAAATTTTTGTGGTGTCTCACTGGACATGAACAAGATGCGGAGGTAAAAGATATTAGGTTTTCATCCTTTCCTTCAATCAATTCTCAATCAAGCGCAAATTTGTGATTCAAGCATAAACGATTAAATTCACAGAGTACCACAATGCCCTTGTCCAAAGAGGGGGAAAAAAGGTTCCAGTCAATTGATAGCCAAAAAGGAAAAAGATTGCAGTAGAATTACATTTAGTGTTGTTAAAGTACCTATATCTGCCTGTGTTACCACATTGCAAACTTTTAATATCTCCTTATGTGAAACTGGTTGCAGAGAACCTGTCTTGATTGGTTGAGTATAAGCATACTTTTGGAAAAAAATGACCAGGACCTTGAAACGCTAGTGCATTTGTGAGAAGTAAGTTTGGTGTCTGTTTTAAAGCTTAGTGTTTTGACAATTAAATTCTCCTTTAATTGAGAACTTCATAACGATATGAAAGAATGGAATTCTAGTTTGGAAAATAATGCACCTGACAATCCACGCAATGCAGATATGCCCTACCAACTTGGTGTGTTATACAATGTTTGCAACCTTGTTGCAGTGACAAAGTCTATGTAGTATACTGTATGGGAATTTTTTTTCCCAATATGAATGCAGAAGGTTTGGCTGTAGCTTTATATGCTTCCAGTTAACTAAGAAACCTTCTACTGAGTTTCCACTCATGTAGAATGATAAAGTAGGAAATATTATCCTGTTCCAATTAAACTTTTTTTTTTAATAAAATTGATGGAGTAAGGGGCAATGTAGAAGCACAAGCAAGACGCTTGAGTTATTGGAAGTAGTCACTCTAATTCTCATCTAGCAAGAAAAGTTTTTGCCTTTTAAGTGAAGTGACAGGCAGTAGATTATTTCTTAATTTTCCAACAATTGGACTAGTGGATGCAGTTTCCAGGGTCTAGAAGAGTTATGATGGTGGCAAATATTTCCTTTACACACTGTTTCAAGATAATTCTCAATAGTTGTTGGAAGTACTCAAGCATAAGGAGTGTATCTGCAATTAAAAAGCCTTGCTATCAAAGAGTTTTTTAATAAGCAGAAATAAGCGTCTCACTTAAATTCATGTGTAATTTTAACCACAATAGCCTCCAGATCAGCTACAAGGGAACAAGGGCTCAGATAAATGGGGAATGGATCTAATTGGTGCAGTTGCATGACAATCTCATAGTTACTGCTGTCTCTCATTGGGTAAAATAGGGGAATCCTGGAACAGCAGTAGCTAAATGGGATGCTTTTTTCATACTATCTTTTGCACATAGCCATGCATGCATAAGAAGTAGATGTATAAGCAAAAGATGTAATTTCTATAGATTTGCCACATATATGTATTTTGGTTTATCCTTTGGTTATTAAGGATGGAAAGAAGACCTGTTTTGGTCTGTTCTACTGGACTCATATAATGATATTCCAGCAGTATGTCTCATGCACTAAAGTCAAATTTTCGTTTACCTTGTATAGGCTATTATCAGTGCTTTTCCCTCACTTCTTAGAAGTTCTGAAGAGAAGTTCCGGCAATTGTTAGCTGATGAAGATATCCCTTTCAACGAGCAGCTTATTCAGTTTCTAGCAAAAGAAGGATCAAATATTTCTATCAAGCTGAGGTAGGGTTTTCCCGTCTTAATGTCATTGTGGCATTTGGTAAGATGTACACTGCGGTATAATGGGTTTTATAGTTATTATCTTCTGTAGTTTACTTTTCATTTGAACTCAAAAAAATATTTTCCAGGAAGATAGCTTGTTGAGATGCATATTCTAATAAAATTTGTTAAAAAAAAAAACAACGTACTAACTGTTTATTATCGGAGTGCTTCTATTTGTTAAGAGTATTTTTTATTTTTAAACAGGAAGTGTATCCCCATCCAGAATGGACATGTGATTACTGGCAAATTTTCTAATGCAAAATTGTGTGTGTGTGAGAGAGAGAGAGAGAGGGGGAGAGAGAGAGAGAGAGAGGCAGACAGAAACAGAGAGTCTACATGCATGAGTGTGGGTAAGCTATGCTTATTTGAAAAGCAGTCCTGAATTCCAGTTGAGAATTTTTGTTAATTGGCAGAAAGAAGAGGTCCACAAACACAAGGCTTATTACTCTATCTGTCTGTCTATCTTTTGGATGTTTATGTTACTTTAGACTATTAGTTCTGTATTGTCCTTTTTGTTACTATTTTGATTGGTTATATGGAATTTATCCATGTAGTGATTGTTACAATTTTTTGGAGAGGGTGCGCTTGGAAGGGACTCAAGCAGAGGCTAAACTTGCTGTGTCTGCAATTGCAGCTTTAAGTGATTCTTCTGAGGAAGTCATTGTCCCAAATTTGTGTAAGGTATTGTCTATCTCATTTTCTGTATGTTGATGCAGTTTTAAGTCATGTAATCAGCATAGGAACTAAACTAAGGTGAGTGACCTGTTTGGCCTAGAATATTCATTGCATAATAAGATATGTACTTTTGGGGCTTTGTTTCATCAACTAAGCCTAGTTCTCTGCTGTAGTATGATTAGAAGCATGAATTTTGGTAAACATCCAGATCTGATGAAATCTCATGCATTCATGCATTTACTTAATACACGAATGGATGAATTAATGGATAAACTTCATGCACTTGTTTTATCATGCTTTTGCATTTTTTGTCTTTGATGCATAAATTTTCTCTTTATGACATTGTTAAAGTAGGTTTTTTATTTTATTTTTTTCCTTTTTCCTTTTTATGAGGCAATCTGGTTCTTGTATGCCATGAACAGGCATCATATGTCAAACATCATCAAGTTCTGTCGGTTCAAAGTGTTGCAGATAGTATATGCAGTTTATCTTGTTGATGCAGTTGTCCTTGTATTTTATGTTTTATGCAACCAAGTTGTTGACCTACAACATGATTGCAACCTCTTTGTTCTTAAAGAGATGATGCTATACTTGATAGTAGTGTTGAAAGGAAAAAAAAATAATGAAAGTTATGGAGGAATTAACGGGCAGTAAAATGATTTTCAAAATACTAGTATAGTAGATGGGCTTTCTTAATCTACTTCATTTGGCGAGATTATGAGAACTTGTGTTTTTGCTCTCACCTATGGCAGCATCGCGAAAGACAAAACTTTGACCCACTTGGCCATATTAGGTCTGCTATGTATGTGATGATTTTTTAAGTTTTTGTTATGGTAGTGCCTTTCTGGGTCATTCCAGTTGGTATTTGATCAGGCTCCATGTGGTTCTATGATAACATTAACTGGGCCTCTCAGGGCTTCAATAAGGCAAGTTATTATGCGAGTAGGGGTCATTGCATTTCGTATTAAGTTAGCATCTGTGTGGTCTTTGTGGGGATTAGCAACAACTTTCTGGGTGTCAACAAGGAAAGTTGTTAAGCTAGTGCAGAGGGTTGTCCCCCTTTAGTTTAAGCTCCTGACATGACCATTGTGTTAAAAGAAACAGTGTTTGAACTGTTTTATACACTGTTGAGGAGGGTTAAGGTATGTATTATGAACACTGTCAGATATATATTAAAATAAAAAATGGAACTTTTAGTACTACCTTAAATTTTGAAAATACACCAGTGAACTTTTAAAGTTTGTTGTCATTATACATCGAGATAAACTCAGGAAAATTACAGTTTTGGAGTATTAGAACAAACTTTTAAGTTTATTGTTCTCAACATATATTAAGATAAACTGAGCTGAGAAATCTAAATCTGGCATCTTACTGATTTTTTCATGTGAATGCTTTTTGGAATTTCATGTTAATGGTGGATTAAGGTTTACTAGTGAAGGAGTTTCAGTCAGGCCTTCAGAATATTTAATCTTCTGTTTAGTAATTTTAACTTGACGCACAAACAGAAGTGATCTTAATTTTCAAGAACTTTGGGTTCTTTCAGCTGTGGGCTCCACTGAAACTAGATTCAAACTGATTCAGACCCAGATTACTGGCATGGAACAAAATGAGATACCATTTCTAATTTCTTTCTCCACAGAACTTGTCATTGCACTACTGCAATCTTTTATTCTCTCTCTCTCCCCCCCCTATATCTGAAGCATTTTGTGTCTGCCATGTCTCCCTATCTGCCTTCCATATTTGGGCCAAATAATCCTTTTGTCTTAATACTGGGCAATAGTGGGACCCAAACCCATGATGCTTGTGCCATATCTGAATCATCAGGGAAATCTTTGGGGCAAGTATTATTGGGAAGTTGACTCGTAATTTTGGAACTCAGACTTCTCAAGTAAATTAATCATGTTCTTCTCATTATTCATCTGCTATTATGCTCACAATAATTATGCATATTTGTCTTGTTCTTATTTGTCAGACTTCTTGTACTATCAAGAAACATAGTGAACAATGTTTAAAGAGTTCTTTGACTAGTGATGCCAACAAATCTGCCAATTCAAACTTGACACTATCTAAGAGTGCTGATGCATCAAGAATTTGGATAGAGGGTTTACAGAAAACTTCGCATCAGGAGGTTCATTCTGGAGGGACTGTTGAAGTGCACAATGAGTCCTCTGTCGATAATCAGCATGAAATACATGCAAGTGTAATATCTGAATCCATCATGAGTAAAGAACGAGTTGGATCTTCTTGTGACTCTGTAGCAACAAAACCCACATTGGGCTTGAAGGAAGACTTTCCAAGCTGTTTACAAGAGAGGGACATGAATATGACATATAACAGCAATACTGATAAAGTTGCCAAATTGTCAACAGCCAACCACAAGAAAGTTAATTTAGCCAAGGTTTGTGTATTATTTAACTCTAAAATGACTAGAAAAAATTTTTTGGGCTAAGTGCCTGGAAAATTATGTTCTGTCTACAATTGTTGATTGTCCTACTGTGATTTGTCGGACTACTATAGGAAAACAAAGACAAGGGTGAAGCATCAGATGTTGAGCACCGACAAATGCGAGCTTCAACTCATTATAGGTGAGAACCTGCAGGTGAAGTTGCTCAGTTGTGAAACACTGTCCTGTCTTTATGTAACAGACTTCTCGTTCTTTTACTTCTTAATTAAAACGCGGCTAGTCTGGTGAATTTGATACCACCAAATTTAGTAGGCAATCAGGATGAATTGCCAGTTGCTTGGTTTAATACACAAATCAATTCTAACATCCGTTGATTTAAACCAATTAAACATATGATAGCAATAATAATCTATTCATTGGGACTGAGATCTTAAAACCAAATATCTCCTTTGATTCCAAATTTTAGTTCAAGAGTTTGAATTTAACTATTTTGGTTGACCTAAAATGACTTGTTTGACTGAAGCATTGACTTGTTCAGCATTTGCTGAAAATACAAAATATGCCAAGCACTAAACTCAACAAGACACAAAGGAAACATTGAAGCCTAAATTTAACATTGAACACTAAAAAGAAGTATATATGACCTTGGGCCAGGCCAAAGCTTCTTTTGAATAACGTATATTCTGTCTTAGCCTAAAAACTTCAGTAGTGCACTAGAGGACCATTATTGGTCCTGGTTTGGATTTGGATTGGTCCAGTTCCATTGATGTAAAAAACAATATAAATTTAGTGCTAGACCTGTTCATAAGATCCAACCCATATTTGATTAATAGGTTTCACAAGTAGATTGGTTAGATCTGCTTGTTGCCCTGTGACAAGGAGCATACCTGATTATGTATGTGTGTATTAGTTATCTTATGTTTATTACCCCTTAAAAGTATTTATAACTATTAGCCATTGGATTGCACCTCCAGTACTCTCTATCATTTAAATCTGTGAAACTCTACCCCCATTTATGGCATTTTGCAGCTTCTTCACCTATGCACCACATCCCAGTGCAATCTCTCTCTCTCATGTGCAGACAGACATATTCAAAAAGGACAATACACGATGTGTGTTTCTGTGTAAATATATAAAAAATTTGCTTATTCTGGGCTCAAGCCAACTTGCTTTAGGTGAGTTGGCCACCAAGTGAAGCATAAGGTGCAGGCCTGGCTGCAGGTCTGGGGTTCAAACCTCTGCGCCCTGCAGGAAAATCCGAAGGATGTACGGTAGTGCACCCTTTTGGTCCAGAGGTGGAAACTGCTCCTTGTAGCCCTCCTTTGCCTAGTTGGGCCCTCCCTTAGATAGGTTAGAGTAGGAGTAGGAGCAGTAGACTTGACGATTGACCAAAAGGAATAAAAAGCTTATTCTGGGCTCATATGTGCATATCTACCGTGGTTCTAGTAGTGCCTCTCTCACAGGAATAGATTCGTAACTTTGGAAATTTTGAACTTTCTTTCCTTATTGACACTTTAACTCAAGCGTGACTTTATGGAAAATCAGTTCTTGGTTTCTTTATGATCAATAATTCAGTATTTCACTTTTATTTTTTTCCTAATTTTGTTATTAATTATTTTTCCAGCTTCAGTTTTGGTGTGAATGGTCTGTTTGCAGTGAGATCACTTTCCTTCACTATAATGGTGTAGCAAAAATGTTAAAATAATTAAAGTGGATAATAGCCATAGTGACTCTTGATGAATATTAACTATCAAACTTGAGAATTGAGCCAAGAGTCCGCCTAATGATGGTGCTACATCTAAATATATTGAATCCTTTGAAATGGTTTTGGAGTGAACTATGGATGAATGTGCTCCATCTATCTGTGATTTATGTCACTGAAACTTTGTGTCATTGTGGTACTAGACTTTTCACATTGGTGGTTGGCCAACTTCACTGAACATCTAATACCTCAGTACCATATTTTGGGTATTACATTTCACCCAATGTGGGTCCAGCAAGGCATCTGCATGTTTTAGGACTGTAGGAATATGGACCGGATGATGCACATGTCAATCTATCTGATCTGGATCCTAAAAGATGTCTCGTGGATCGGCCTGCTTATATCTCTATCCGCTTATACGAGACCTTATTCTGTAAAACTGTAAAGTTAGATCCATTTTCCTTCTGATGGTGAATTAATGAACCAGAAGAATGTTCAATCTACATACCTCCATTGTTTTCCTCATTGGACTTTATTCATAAAGGGTAGCAAAACTCCACAACTTTTTTTTCTCTCTTTTCCTTTTTAAAAGACATGTATTGCTAGGATTATACCTGAAACTGAAGATTAAGACATTCCTTTAATATTGTGGACCCAAGCTTTTTATGCTATTCAGCTGCCTCTGCCCTCAAACCTATTTAGCCTTTCAGGTCATCTTCCTTTTATTTTCAGTTCTTTAATCACGTGTATAGGAATACCTGATTTGCAAAATCTTTACATTGTGGTTATCAATCTGAAATTTCCCTTGTATATGTATATGCTTCCACCTTACTGGAAAGTACCTTTGATATATTTGGCTTTGATTCACAATTGCTTACTAGTATTTTTGTTATTACAACTGTCATGGCTATAGGATGTATAGCTTGAATGGGTCCTATGAGAGATTATGTTTTTCCATATTATCCTTCATGATAGATGGTTGATTTTACCCATATATTTGTGTTCCACTGTCGAAAATATATTATTTTTAACAAGATTTGACATGGATGATTAAAGTTTCGCGGAATTGCTGTTTTGTTTTTGGTGGCCGTCTAGTCTAAGGCTTCTTTAAATAAAGGCGTAAGGAGAAGGTTCTCCAGAAGTAGAGCGAGAGAAAATCAATATGATATTTGCGTTGGTTTTTCCAACGAAACCTTACACTTTTTTCTTTCTCATTCGTGACTCTGGCTTTTATCCATCATCTTTAAAGTAGTCTGACATTTTTTTGGCTCTCTTCTTTTGGCATGGTCGAGATGGAATGATGGGGAGAACTCTTCTGTCCACAGCAAAAGGGAAACCTCTGGTGCATGTGACTCTGATTGCGAAGGAAACTCACTCAAGAAGACAAAATTTTTTGCTGAAGAGATTCCTCTGCCTGGTAATCTCTAGATATGTCTTAATTAAAATCACAATAATTCAATTTATCTTGAAAATTTATATAACATGAAAGCATCTTGTATAAAATTCAACACCTGTATCTCTTTTTTGTCAAGCCAATAACTTAACTGTTGTTGGCTCTGTTGGCCATTATTTTGTGGTGCTCCTCTACTGCTGCACTGCCGTCTGAACATTACTTATGTTTTAGTGTGCTTTAATACTATTTTCTTCTCTGTGATATATATCGGTCAATGTTCTTGGTCAACGCATGATACTTTGTGGAACTACAGTTTCCATTAGAGAGCAGCTAACAGGTTCTATTAAAAACTAAACATTACAGGGGAAGTTACGTTAAGGATTTTGAATAACTTTTGAAGGGTGCAGATAACATATTATGTTGGTGATATGGATACATAGTGTGACATCTCTGACTTCTAGCTGCAGAGAATACTAAGAAGATACGAAGATCAAAAGTTGCGGCATCTAAAGCCATCAATGTGAACAAGGACATGGTAAGGTTCTTCTGGCGTTTTTCTGTTTGTGCTTGATATGCTTCTAATATCCACAAGCTTCTTAAGATAAAGTTTTATTCCCATAAGTTAGCAATTTCTAATGACCACAGCTTCCATCTAAATAAACAATCTATATTGTTCGTCTTTGCGCAACAAACAACTAATCTCTACATCATATTTTGTGATGACTCTTGTGTTGTATCATTTCAGATTGCACGGAGGACTCGAAGACAGAAAGTTTAACTTGGTTAACTGTTCTATTAACGTTCTTGTCAGTAAATTGTTTGTCTCTATGCCATATGACATGTTTTAGTGAATTCATACTTTCACTATTAGTGCATATGTGCGACTTTTTCATCTTGTTTATGGAGCTCTGTCACAAATATAGTATCCCTAGGTTGGGATGCTCCTTTGTTATGTATTTCGTGTACAGATGATGCAGATTGTTGGAATTACTGTTGGATTTTAGATTGACGCCCAGTCTGAGGACTGAAAAGTTTTTAGCTGATTGAACAATTAACATTCCTTGTAATTGTTCAGTTGAAATTTTGTTTATCAAGTCCGGCCTTGGAACTCTACTTTGAGGTTAAATGATATGTGTACCCTCTGATTCTTTTCAATTTCATGAGGGGTATCTCTTCTTTTTGGTTTATGGAATGGAAAAGACTAAGCGGTAAGTGAAAAGCGGATGTAGGAATATAGAGTAAATATCCATTTCTAATGGTGTTAACACAAGGGGGGAAAAAGGCTTCGCATTATTGGGGTATTTTCTAAAAATTTTAAAAATCTCCCATCACCACCCCCTTCTTCCTCTCTCCTACTTCCTCTTCCTCCCTCTTCCTTCCCTCCCATTTCCCCTACTTGCAAAACCCTCCACCTCCCTTCCAGAAGCCAGTCACAATCAGAGCTTCTCATTGTGGGATGGGGAGGGTTTTTGGGGAAAGGGGAGGGGAGGAAGAGGGAGGAGGAGAAAGGAAAAAGGTATTTTTTAGTATTATTGAAGCCGATACGGTAAACATCAAACTGTCCGAGACCGGTATTGTTGTTATAACCACCCCAAGCCAGACCACCAATGTGCTTCTAAAAACCAAGCCAGCCTCTCCAACTGCCACCTTCATCATGGCTGCCGCCTGCCACAGCCTACTTTACAGGGCTAGGTACCTTTGACAATTCTACTATTGCCAGGATCCCTGAATGCCAAAACCATGCTTCCCACGCAAACAAAACGGTCATAAACCCAACCCTGCCTGCAGTGATTGGCACTGGCTTTCTTGCAAACTTCACCAGGAAATTCCGTAGCTTAGTCACAGCTGAATTTCCAGCAAACGTTCCACAGACCATGCAAAAGCGGTTTTTCTTCACCATAGGACTTGGATCGAGTCCTTGCCCTGCTAACAAAACTCGCCAATGATCAAATGGCACAAAATTTGCAGCTTCGGTTAACAATATTTCTTCCGCTCTCCCATCAACAGCTCTTCTGCAATCCTACTTCTTTGGGAAATCAGGTAAATCAAATGGTGTTTTCACCACTGATTTCCCAACCCCAACCCACAAATCCATTCAACTAAACTGGAGCACCGCCGAATAAAACACCAGTTAGCAATGCAACCCGGACTGTCGGGTTACAATTTAGTACGTGTTGCAAGACACTAGCATTCTGGGGGCAGAGAGCCATCCTTTTCACCTGCATGGTTTCAACTTCTTCATCGCTGGGGAGGGTTTTGGAAACTATGATCCAAACAATGACCCTTCCAAATTCAGACTAGTGGATCCAGCGGAAAGGAATACAGTGGGGGTTCCATCAGGTGGCTGGAATGCCATTCGCTTCTTTACAGACAATCCAGGTACCTAGCAAGAAAAACAAGATGCACCTCTTACCAGAAAGAAATATATTCAACTTTAGACCAGATCAATGGATTTTCAAGTACTGAAAAAAACACATTGATATGTGGTCATACTGCTGTTTCTCTGTTGAGCTAACATACTTGTACTGATTGTTTACCATGACAAACAGGAGTATGGTTTATGCACTGCCACTTTGATGTGCACAAGAGTTGGGGTTTGCGAATGGCATCATGGATTTGTACCTGCTGTTAATTAATTTAAGTTTCTGAAACAAGTATTGCTGAAGCCTTAAACATGTCTCTTATCAACTATACAGGGTGGACTGGGAACATCTCTATGTCATCTCATCTCTTCATCTCTAGGTCCTATTTCATTGGAGATGAACTATCTTCTCATGCAAAAAACAAAATTTGAAACTCTTATTAGTATTGCAGTTGAAGCTGTTCCAGAAATTCGAACATTTTCTCACTCTGGTTTACGGAGTTTTGCATTAGAGTGACAATACTAACACTGATTAAATACTCTTGTCTCTGCAGGAAGAGAATTGCAAGGAAAAAAGTATTGAAATACTATTATCTGCTCAAAGAACATCAACAACGTTTATTAGCATAGGGACCCGTGAAAAATAAAGCATACAATTCAGCCAGAGAACAACTAGGACTCTATAGGAGGCTCCCCGTGCATATGAAATTTTAGTCTTGCCCAATTATTGCCCTCTAATGATAAATTTTCTATGAAAAAATACATTATTGCAATTGTAAAAGATTTCAAACTATAAAAAGTTGCATTTACAATTTGTGACACTAGAAACTTTGACCTTTGTTCATAGTCAAGGAATTCAGAATAAATAGGTGAAGTAATAAAATCAGTCTTGCAGAATCTTATTGTAACATGAATATGAACTTTCTTGGTTTCGATGAATACATATTTTAACTCGACCAAAAGCAAAAACTTTCTTCTCCTAAAGAAAATTTTACACCGCTAACCCTTCCTAGTCATATATTACAGCAGTAATTGTGCTATAGGATGATGTCCCCGAATAGGTAGATGATTACTTTTTCAATTCATGGAAACGGGAAAAAATAAATTGTCATCATCACTAACAAGGAGGATAAAGCAATACAAATAAAATAAATTTGGATGGCAATTTCAATAGAGGAGAAATATTTAGAACTTTTTTTTTTTTTTTAATTTTCCCGCCCCTCCCACAACTTTCCCAGCACTAATTGTCAGGCACAGAATTTGAACACTAAATCTGAAAAAGACTATAGAATCCTCTTCTGGCCATCATAGTAGTTGAAGTGTTGAGAACTTAACAAGTGGTATAAAAGTTATTCATTTTGATTTTTTTTTTGGGGTGTTCTAAGGGGAGGGACTATTTGATAGGAAAAGAGGGGGAGTAATTTGCGCCAGAAGCATCACTTTCAATTATACTTTCAAGCCTCATCTAATCTAACTCATAGCCAGCTGAGGAGGACCGCTTGACTCTTTAGTCAGAATGGTGGTGCTACATACTATCTTTTTTTTTTTTTTTGGGTGCAGGTACGACCTCGTCTATTCTTGTATTTAAAAAAAATATTGCTGATCCAACCTTGTCATTATAGTAAAAATACCACATAAACTAGAACTAATTCAAAGTACTAGTTGAAACATTTGTCAGTTGTGTCCAGTTTGGGGCCACTTTTAATTAAGGTGGTAGATATAAGAATCATCATATTTGTAACTCTCACCTACACAATGATTACTAGTTTAGTAATTACTAATACTTCTTATGCCTAAAAGACAAACAAACTAATTGATATTTGAGTCGAGTTCCGTTCGATATGAGTTCAACCAAACTTGAATAGTAATTTATATTTGATAAATGGTCAAGTTTTGTTTGAGTTTGGTTCGTTTAGTATACTAAATGAAATGTATATGTAAAAATATTCAAGTTACTCGAGTTTGACTTGAATTTGTTTTGACATAAGCTCGTTAAAACTTAGTTCGAAAAGCTAACAAGTCAAGTTTTAATAAATTTCAAAAGTTGTCAAACTAATTAAACAAGTTTGAAAACTAGAATGTTTGGTTTATTTAAACTCATTTACATCCTTATCGCTACTAATAGTTTTATTAGGCCACGGTGACCCACATCACGTCTAATGACTGTTTGTTTCATTGTTGAGAGAACTATTTCTGCCATTTTGATTTGAAAGATGTTAATTAACCATCACTGAGAGGAGTTCATTAGTGTTCATGAATTATGTGAAGAAGATTGCGATCGACTAAAACGTCATGCTAATGGATCTCTCACTCTCCCCTCCCTAATAACCCCAAATTTCTGAGCATACAGAACGGCACTTACTATAAACTTTTTACCATACTGGATCAAATTTTCCTATTCCATTTATAGGCAGTTTTCATAGAACTTTTAAGCAATTAATATTACCATTTTGTATAGGAGTAGTTGGCCATCAAGAGAGTTTTGAGGCTCTATTTGGGTGTAGGTCAAGGGATCAAATCCCTCCTGCATTCTTAAAAATTCAGAATTTTCTTAAAAAATTTTGCCAGTAAGGCGTAGGCACCCGTCTAGACTAATGGTGGTTTGGTTCCCTCCGAATTCCCCATTGACTTGTTTAAGTCGCTCCCTCCCCCTAGTATAAAGTAGAAGTAGGTGTGGCATAGAATTTATCGTGTACAAAAAAAAATGTTACCATTTTGTTCTTTATCATTTATCTTTAACAGTATAAACATTTACTGAAGCAGAAAGGAGGAACTTGTAATTTCATTCTAACTGTGACTCTGGTATACGTCAAACTTGTGCTGTTCTTGCCTGGAGAGACAAAAAACCGATGCCATTTTATTTAGCTTTCGAATTTGGAAAAGGATTCTGATTATTGTGTCAAGTGAAACCACATGATTTGGGATTTTCTAGTCGATGAGCAGTGAAAAGTGCAAACCCTTGGCCTTGGTTTTAATGTGTTATAGGTCCTTTTTGGTTAAGGCTTTCGGATTGGAGGTAAGAGCAATTAATAGTTCAAGGAATTAATGTTGAAAATGAAAATTTTTGACAAATTAAAAGCTTATAAGATTTAGAATCTCCTCTTGAAATTAAAAAAAAAAAAAAAAAACTTAAGTTAACTTTTTTTCACTTTTTTTATAAACTCTCCTAACTCTCCTCACATCCTCCCCATCTCAATTGCTAGGATTTGAACCCTGAGTCGAGTAGTGGGAATTTGACTCCTAGATTTAAGTTAACTTCTTGTGTACATAGAAAAATAAAATAGAACTTTTTGAATTAGTCTATTTCATGTTGATTTACTTATATGACTTTTAATATGTGTACAAGTAATTATCAATAATTTGCACTAATATGTTGTGTTTACGATCTAAGTTTTGATAGTCTTTTGGTATTAAAAGCTATTTCAGCCTTTCAATCCGATTTTAATTTGAGTATCTACTGAAGTAAATTCCCAAAAAAGGGGATATTTTAAAATCATTTCCCAAAAGTCGGTGTTTTTTAAACTTCTTTTCAAAGGGTGAATGAGTTATTTTCTCAAAAGTTACATAGGATGCGTTTTTTTTTATTTGTCTGCGCATTTTTTTTTTCTTAAAAAATGCATTCACTCAATGCGTTGTTTAAAAGACGCATTCAGAATTCTCACTATTTGGAAACTTCTTTTGAAAATTACCACCATTTGAGAATTACTCCTATCGACTAACTACAAATGTCTT